TATTCTTATTCTTATTCTTATTCTTATTCTTATTCTTATTCTTATTCTTATTCTTATTCTTATTCTTATTCTTATTCTTATTCTTATTCTTGGTTTGCTGAGATAGGCTCTTGCTATGTAGCCCAGGCTGGCCTTGAACTCACAGTGATTCTCCTGCCTCAGCTTCTCAAGTGCAGGGATTTGAGGCATGTCCCACCACACCTGGCCTCGGGCCCATGCTTCCTAGCACCTGCTAGATAACCCCTGTGTTTGTGGAGGTGGGGGGCGCTAGAACTGCAAGGGCGCTGCTGAGCTGCAGGTGGCGGGCAGACACGTGGGGCCTCCCCGCAGGTATAATCAGCGTGAGCGACTGGGCGGTGGCTGTGGAGACCGTGCTGCGCCTAGGGCTGCCGTGGCGGGTGCTGAGGCCGCAGCTGGTGAGCCGCAGCGTGGGCAGCACCCTGGAGTACTCGGCCTGGCTGGAGGACTTGGCCAAGGACTGGCCCAGCCGCGAGGTGAGCTCTCACCGAGTGCTTGGTCGGGAGAAAGCCCCCGCCTTAGAGCTAGGCAGCAGCTGGGGAGCGCCAGGATGGCTCTCTGCGGATCTCTTTCTTTTCCTTTGCCTTGGTCTGTTTGCAGTACCTCATGATCACTCTCCTTGTGGGAGTTGGAACAGGCCGTAACACATCTCAAAACTTTCCGCCTCCTCTTCCCCTCCCTCCCGCCTCCCTCCAGCTCTTGGTCCCCTTCCAATGTGCAAAAATTCTATCTCCCTATTTCCTATTTTCTGTTTTTTATTTTGCTACTTAATTTATTTACGCTTTGGGTTTCTATATAAGAGAAAGCGTGTGATACTTAAGCTTGTGCGTCTGATTTATTTCACTTAACATGATGGTCTCGAGGGGCATCCATTTTCCTACGCAGGACTCTAGCGCATTCTTTATGGCAGAGTAGTGCTCCATTGTGTGGAAATATCACATTTTCTTCATCCGTTCCTCTGCGGATGGACACACAGCCTGCTTTCGAGCTGTGGCTGTTGTGAGCTGTGCTGCTGTAAGCATGGGCGTGCGTGGATCCCTATAACGTGGTGTCTTCCACTCTTCTGGGAAGACACCTAGAAAGGGACCGTCTTGTGGCTTCCTGTGTGTCCCGCTGTGCATGGCGTGGTTTCCCTGCCTTGCCTCAGGCAGCCTCAAGCAGGTAGGCGTTCAGGCCACTCTGAGACCCGGGAGCCCACACAGTGAAGGAGCTTGCCACATTGCAGAAGCTTCTCAGCCAGGCCTCACAGTCCGGTCTGGGCTGGGCTGCAGCTCGGCGGGGTCCTGTGTCATGCCCAGGCCTGGGTTCAGCCTATTCATAAAGTATTCAGTCAGTAAATACTAACCTCTGTGAAACCCAGCATGAGGTACTTCTGAAAGCAACTTTATTGCAATATACTTACCACCTATGTAATCCATCCACATAAAGTCTGCAATTCAGTGGTTCTCAGCGTACATGCATCCCTCGGGCCGGAGGAGGAGCTTGTTCCGAGACCCCCTGCAGAAACAACAATCTGGGCCAGGGATATAGCTCAGTGGCACAAGCATCTGCCTGGCAAAGCGCAAGGTTCTGAGTTTGATTCCCGGTACCCACAAAAAAAAAAAAAGAAAAAAAGAAAAAAAGAAACAACAGCCTGTGGTTGCTCAAATCCTCCATACAAAATGGTGCAGCATTTCCATATAACCTAAGTACACCCTCTGGGATACCTGACATCATCTGCGATTACCTGCGGTACCTAATGCAGTGTAAACCCTAAATAAATAGTTGTTACACTGTTGGGTGAGGTTACTGAGGACAAGGCAAGTGGTGTGGGCGTGCTCACTGCACACACGTTTCTCCCTAACACGTTTCCTCCCTGGCTGGCTGACCCCGTGGGTGCTGAGCCGGTGGCAGTTGCACAGCTCTTTCAAGAGCTTCAGCCTGGGCTGTGTGCCTCCCGGCCCGCTGGACTAGGCGGCAGGCTGGAAGGGGTGGAGAGGGCAGAGAAGCGGTAAAGGAGCGGCAGGGTTTTCAAGAGTATATGGTTATCGGAGTGGATTGTGTGTTAATCATATATTAGGATGAGACTAAACAGAAAAGAAACGTGAGTTTTACTCTTCTAGAACATACAGTCGAGTTTGCTGGAGACACTGTACCGAAACAGATCCAACCTGGAGACCATTTTTAGGATCATAGACAGTGATCATTCAGGTAAAGAAGTATTTTACATTGAGCCCCTTGGTCTTCTTCCCTGTCCCGTCTGTTCCTCTCCCCTCAAGCATATTGGAGGCAAAGAAAGCAGTATTGGTTTTTTAGTGCTACACACTAAAAAAGTACATCAGCAATCCAAGGAGCTCGTGTAGCAACTCTGGAGGCCGAGGCAGGAGGAGCTTGTTTAGGGAGTTTAGGGCCGACCTGGGCAAGACAGTGGGACCCTGTCTCAAAACCAACAGCAACAACAGCAAAAGGAAGCCTGCTCAGAAAGGCATGGGGCAGAGAGGCAGGAAGACAGGATGGGAGCTGGTTTCCGAAGGGCAGTGTTAGATGCGCTGTCCTTTACAGTTCTATCCAAGATTGCACTGACGTAACAAAGGGCTGCAGAGCAGAAAGGCTTTGCATTCTCACTCCCAAAGTTTAAAACACACTTGCAATCTTGAAATGATTCAGAGGAAGTTACAGAAATAGATATAGGAAGGGGCTATAAACATTTTCCTGTTACCCCTGCAGTCCAAGGGGTTTTCAATAACCCAACCTTTTTAAAGGTCTAACTCACATAATATATAACTCACCTATCCAAAGCATGCAGTTGAATGGTCTCCGTATATCTACTAGGGTGTAGAGACATCAGCACTGTTTAATTTGAGTACACTTTCATCACTCCCTAAAGGAGGCCTGGACCCATGAGCAGTCCCTCCCCAGCCTTGGCTCCACCCACCCACTTTCTGTCTCTGTGGATTTTCCTGGGGACCCAAGTGGGGATGGAACCACCATACACAGCCCTGCTGTGCCAGGGGCAGCCTCTCATGTAGCTCAGTGTCGTTAAGCCATTAATCCATGTTGCTGCAGCGTTCACTCCTTATTTCTTCCTTATGTTTGGGTAGACCATATTTTGTTCATCCAAAATCAGTAAAATCAGTTTTATGATTGACAGCATAAAATCAGTTTATAATAGATTTTTGATAGGCAGTTGATAGACATTTGGGTTACTTTTACTTACTGGATATCGTGACCAATTTTGATACAGATATGTACAACTTTTTGTGTGAAAACATATTTTCACTTCTCCTGGGCATCTGCTGCAGAGGCAGGGTAATTCCAGCGCTAGCGGTCCACCTGCTTTGCAGAGTGGCTGAGCCTGGGCACATCCCCAGCAGGGGGCGTGAGATTTCCAGTTCTCCAGGTCCTACCCACTCTTTTTTTTTTTTTAATTACAGCCATCCTGCTAGGTGTGTGAAGTATCACTTTATGGTTTTAATGCACATATCCCTAATAACTAAGGATACTTTTCATGTGATTCTTGGACACTTACAGCATATCGTCTTTAGAGAAACAACTATTCAAATTCTTGGTCCATTTTCTGAGTTGTCTTTATATTTGAGTCGTAGGAATTATGTATTCTGGACACTAGATACACACTTTACGAATATTTCCTCTGATTTTGTGGATGTCTCTTTGATGCGCAACAGTTTTTAATTTTGAAGAATCCAGTTTATTCTTTTCTTTTGCTATTTTCACTTGTGATATCATATCTAAGAAATGGGTGCATAAACGAAGGTCACAAATACGTACAGCAGTGTTTGAAAAATTTATAGTTTTTCTCCTACATCAAGGTCTTTCATCCATATGCAATTAATTTTTGTACCTAGTGTGTGGTAAGTATTATTTCAACTTGATCCTTTTGCATGTGCATATCTACCCCCCCCCCATCATTGTTGGAAAAACTATTTTTTCCCACGTGATCCTGGAACTTTTGTAAAAAAAAAAAAAAATCAGCATGCATAAGTTCCTGGCCTTGATCCCTAGCACTTAAAAAAAAAATCAACTGACCATAGATGTAGGATTCAAAGGCTTTTTTCTGAGATGGAATGTGTTATATTTCCAAGACGGGCCTCAAGCTCTGGGGTCAAGTAGTCCTCCTGCCTCAGCCTCCCCAGTAGCTGGGATTGTAGTTGTATGCCACCATGACTGGTTTAAAGGCTTTTTATAAGCAGAATAAATTAGTATGTGTTTGGGATGATGTAATGTAAGGCTTCTCCGAAGTGGTAATTCTAGGGTGGGTGGGCTATCTCTGCACTGGGGATGTACATATCCATGCTCTGTATCCACTGGTGCCAGTAGATATCTGGTTTGTGACAATAAATGGTGTCTGCAGATGTTTCCAGATGTCCCAGCGTGGGGTGGGCCGTGGAACAAAGCTGCTGCAGGTAGGGATCACATGTGGCCAGCAGTGTCCTGCAATCCTCTTAGCATCCACACAGCTGTGAGGCCTGGGGACTCCGTGTGTTCAGCAGCAGGGAGTAGGTGTCCTTGGAGGGATGTCAGGGGAAATGCACCCAGAGGACAAGTAGGCTCCTGCAGACAAACTCTTCCCCGCCAGGGTTCATCTCCCTGGATGAGCTCAGGCAGGCTTGGAAGCTGTTCAGCTCACACATGGGCATTGTCGGCACTGATGAGTGCATCTGCAGCCTGGCCCGCAGCATCGACTTCAACAAGGACGGCCGCATCGACATCAACGAGTTCCTGGAGGCCTTCCGCCTGGTGGAGCAGTCCTGCTCGAGGGACACAGCCTGTGGGCACCCGGAGGACAGCAGCTGTGGTGGCCTCAGCACAGCCTGACAGCCCAGGCCCCCTCCGACCTCCAGGGCAGTGCCCAGCTGGCTGGAACTTGAACCTTCCATCACCTTGCGCTTGGGTTTGGAGGCCGGATGGTACATGCGTGTGCGTGTGTGTGCGTGTGTGCGCATGTGTGTGTCCATGTGTGTGTGTGCACTTCTGTGTGCAGGTGCTTTTAGGTATATAGTGGCCCACCCCCGCCTCAGGCATAAGTATTTTTAAATTCTGAATTCTACTCCAGTGAAGAACCACTGATAATCCCATCCCTCATTGTGGTCATTTTATACCTTTTTTGGGGGCAGGGATAAGGACTTAAATTCCATTGTTCTTTAACATACATTTTTCTTTAAAACTCTAAGATGAACATGTGTTTGTGCAATAGGAAATGATTTAATAGCTAAGTGACAAGACTGACATTCGATGGAGAACAATAAATATACCTTTATTAACCATGAAAACTTGTGGCCATTCTGATCTTTAGCATCTCCTACTAAAGCTTGTGTTTTTCATGAACGTTAATGTGCTTGAAGCCTCCTTTGAACACTGAGTGGCTGACACTGTCTCCTTCTAGCTGACCTTCAGGACTCTGCGCACTGCGCTCTGAGATGCGCACATTGGATGGGGGAGGCAAAGGGACGGCTGGCTGTGCTGGAGAGGTCTTCCCCCCAGAATGCCAGCAGACTGCATCCTGGCTTAGTTCACACCACACTTCTAAACGTAATGATGCACATGTAACCCCGACAATTTAGTTCTCACTTCACAGATTTTCCACTGCGTACAGAGTAGTAAGCTCATCTTGCTCTGGCTCTTGAGTCTGCGTGCTTGCAGTGTAGATGGTTCATAGTGGGGTGCTGTGTGGACAGCTTGGGGTGCTCCATTGCTGGCACGGCACCTGCATAAAGCAGCACCTGGCCTGGTGTTGTTTGATCCAATATATGCGTTCTTCCTGAGGCTAGTTAGTGACTGCTCCTATTGTGGTCCATTGACTATAGAGGTTTGCACAGCTTTGCGTGGACATTACTGTTAGAACCCCAAAGAGAACATTCTCAAAATCAGCTCTGAAAAAAAGCGAGCCAAAGAGCTGTGGAGAGCAGACCGAGGAAGCCGTTACTCACATACACAGTGCCCACAGCTTGGACCTCAGCACCAAACACCTCGACGGCCTGTTTTCTTAGGTAAGTATTTGTAGATATGACATGCAAAATGTCACTAGTAGTCTTTTTAAAGATAAAAATAAGCCAGGTGTGGTGGTGCATGCCTGTTATCCCAGCACTCGGGAAGCTGAGGCAGGAGGATCGTTGCTAGTTCGAGACCAGCCTTGGCTACAAAGTGAGCTCACAGCCAGCCTGAACTGCATAGCGAGAACCTGTCTCAAAAAGACTAAAAAAAAATAAAAAATAAAAAATAAATAAATAAGAAGTCCCCATAACTCCTGGAAGTTATACCGTCTCCGTGTATCTCAGTGGGCTCACTTGTTCCATGAGATCAGATTCAGGAGCACAGGTGTGTGCTAAGGTATCAAAATCTGTATACATAAAGTTCTGGCTGTTGTAAGCCGGAACAAGTGCTGGAAGGCCACGCAGTGCTGTGAGGTCGCTCAGGCCAATGTGGTCTAAAAAGCTTAAGGCTTTACATGTCAGAAACTTCAAAATGATTGTACGAAGAGCAGCCTTGAATTAACTGGAAGTTGAGTTCAGGTACTCCCAATTTTTGAATTTTATTTCTCTTTAAAACTACCACTCATGTCATTACCAGAGAGGCATAATAAAAAGATAAATTGGGGCTGGGGATATAGCTCAGTGGTACAAGCGCCTGCCTAGCAAACACAAGGTCCTGAGTTCAATTCCTGGTACCAACCCCGCCCACCCCCCCAAAAAGATAAATCCATTGGGTTTCCAAACATCAGTGTAAAACAGGATAACCCAAACCATGTTCATATAATGAGATTCTGGAATTCGCTTGGCTTAATGTATCCCAAACATACATGGGAAATCATGGGGCTGACTGTGTAAAAGTATAAACTGAGCAAAAAGCAGCTCTGGAAGACAGAGGGCAACTTAGTGTCTCCCATGATTGTGGGAGGTCCTGAGAATCACAGGGAAACGCACATCTGAACCACCAGGATGAGGAAGTTTCACAGAGAGGTGTCACGTTTCACATCTCCGGGGCTTCCCACGGCTGACAGCGCTGTCCTCAGACCTCCCGGTGAAGTCCACTCTGGTGCCCAGTGCAGATGAAGAGAATCCCCTCAACTGGCCATTTAAGGTAAAAATCGCGCCCATGTCAAAGCTTGAAAGTCTCCCAATCCTCACAGACTTCTCTAAGAGCTGTATTCTGGTGACTCCCCAGCAGGTTGGCCTCAGTTTCTGCTCCAGATAATTTCATCATTCCTGTGAATGTACAATACCGGGACGTCATAACTCTGCATACAGATGGATTTGTTTCGCTGCATTAGTGACAGGGGATATTCAGGAAGCCTGTGGTTCACAATCACCTGCACTCTTTGCCTTAGTCACTGTTCTCATTCCTGGGAGCACAAAACGCCAACACCTGCAACTCGAAGGAGGAAAGGTTTGTTTGGGTCACAGTTTGCAGTGGTTTCAGTCCATACTCGGTTGGTTCGAAGGCAGGGTGGCTTGGCAGAGGAAAAACAGTCCATGGCAGGGCAACAGGATGCAGAGGGAGGGAACAGGGAGGAGGGAAGGAGATAGGTCCTTCCAGGCCACACCCCCATGACCACCTGCTGACTCTGCTCCACCTCCCAACATCACATGCAGCTATCAGCTCATCAGTGGACTGATCTAGACCCCCACGACCCAGTCAGTCACCTTCCCCAAGCCCCATCTAGGTGCACATGAGGCTTTTGTGAGACATCTAGATAGAAACCATAACATCTTCCCAAAACAAAGGTGCTTCAGTAATAGTCCTGAGGTAAGAATGACAGTTGGGCATGGTGGCAGATGCCTGTAGTCTCAGCACTTGGGAGGCTGAGGCAGGAGGATTTCCATGTGTTCAAGGGTAGCCTGGGATACATAGTGGGTTCAAGGCCAGCCTGAACTCCATGGTGTGACCATGTCTCAAAAAAAAAAAAAAAAGAAGAATGACAGAAAGTCCCATTTCAGTGTGAAAAGTCATCTCCCCTTTTAAAGACCAGAGGTGAGAGAAATGATTTTCAAAGTGAAAATGATTATCATTTTCAAAGTGTTGTTAAATGTATCCAGTGCAAAATTCCCACAAAGGCAGAGATACCCAAGGTGGTGTCTACGTGGGGGGAGGGTTGGGGCTCAGGCCTCTTTCCCTGCTGCGTGGGTCCTGCATGGCCAGTGACCCAGGCCCCTCCCTACACAAGTCTCCCCATGAGCCCCCTCCTATAAGCCCACCCTCATTTGATACTTTTATTTATTGGTTTCTAAGTGTCATATTGGTAAAGGAAAATTACTGAAAATTGTATGTATAATCCTATGACCCAAGGATACAGATTTATTCATTATTTATTTTTCCTCATTTGTTTTAATTATAGTGCTTATACCTTATGTTCTATTTTGCTATGTAACTTTTTTTTTTCCCCAGTACTGGGAATCGAACTCACAACCTTGTGCTTGCCAGGCAGGCGCTGTGCCAATCAGCTAAATCCCCAGCCCCACCTTATGTTCTATTTTTTCACTAAGGTTACATCCACATGTAAACATTTTCCCACATTGCTGTGTAGTGTCTATAATTATTAGGATAATGGTCATCACTTTGCTTTCAAATGGATGTACCAAAGTCTATTCAGATCCTTTCCAGTTGTTCAATGTGTGTGTGTTGTTGCCAGTTTTTTGTTTTAGTAAATAACACAACGGTTAATAACTTCATCTGTATAGCTTGTTTTATAAATTTTCTGCTTGTTTTTTAAGATTGGGTCTTGCTATATAGTCCAGGCTGCACTTTGTTGTATATAATCCTTTGCATGACTATTATAAATAATCCTATGAAATGTGTGTCCTGAGTTATACGGTTCCCCTTGCAAAAACCCCAATCCACAACAGGTAGGTAGATAGAGTAATGTATAATGTATTGGAAAAGACTGGCTCGTGCAGTTTTGGAGGCTGAGTTAGTGCCCGCACGTGCGGTTGGTGAGCTGGAGTCCCTGCAGAGCCAGCGCTGTTGGATCCTGTGTGTCTCAGTGGGCAGGAGACTGGTGTCCCAGCTCAAAGGCAGCCAGGGAGAGGAAGAATTCTTTCTTGCTCCACTCTCCTAGGCTGTGACGGATGGGGGAGGCTGCTCATTTGGGGAGGGCAGTCTGCTGTACTCGGTCTGCAGATTCCATATTAATCCATCCCGAAGCCCCTCACAGACACTCCCAGGAACAATGCTAAACCAAGTACTTGAGTGCACCGCGGTCTGGAACACGTGACATTTAACGTCAGCCTTCACAGAGCCAGATGGGGTCCGTTCAGGCCAGGATGCGAGGTTGAAGCTGTGAAGCCTCTCCCCTCGGCCAGAGGGAGGGCTAGCGCCACTGCGAGGAGTCCAAGACTCTGTGTAGACCGGGCAGGGTGAAGTGTTCAGAAAACTCCAGCAAAAACAGCCGAGGCAGCTTGGAGCTGGAGGAGCCGAAGAAAAGGAGCGGGTGGGTGGAGGGAGGCCTGGAGAGGAAGAGCAAAAGAGGAGGCAGAAGGAGGCAAAGCAGAGAGGAGAGAGGAGGAGGCTGAGGAAGGGCTGTGGTGCAGAAGCCTGAGCAAGGCCAGAGGTGCAGGACTCGGTCGGGGGCGCTAAGGACCCTCAGGGAGCTTCGCTCCTGAGGCTCGGAGGAAGACCAAGCAGAAGCAGAGGAAGAGTCTGCAGAGATGCGTGTCAGGTCGGCCCTGGAGCAGCAGAGGTGTCTAAGAGTGAGGGAAGCTGGAGCAACGTCCAGTGCGATGACAGAGTCCCAGCTCACAGCCTTGGGCTTCCTGTCCCTGCCTGAGGGGCAAAGTATCCAGAGCCCATGGGAGACAGGGGCTGCGCTTTCACCCTAAATAAAGAAACTCTAGCCTGCAGCCAGGAGCTCGGACACTCTAAAACACTGTTCCCATTAAACTCTTCTACTTTCCTTAGTCACTGCTACTTGTCATAAGTTGGCAATGTGTTGAAATTTCAAAATCATTTTCCTCCAGGAGCAGCAGTGAAATCCCCTATCTTTCAGCAAACCTGGGCCAAAGGAAGGAAAACCACCAAGACCACGCATATTGTCCACCCAGGACAGAGCAGAGGCAAGTGTACCATAAGAGAACCAGGATTTACAGGAGGCACCTGTGTAAACAATTCACTGTTGGCGTGAAATCAGTCGAAGTTTGCATCAGGGTCAATAATGAGGGAACATTGGTCTACTGAGCTTCTCCTGGTCACTACGGTAGATTTCTCTAGAAAATCAAAAGCTGAGAAGAGAATGTATTGATTCTGACTTTTATTCCGAAATTTAAATGGA